CCAGACAGCCGAACTTATCGTAACCTCTTAAAGTGGCTGTGAGACCCATGTGGATCTTTTCTTTGGCTGCCTTTTTGCTCATTTTCAGCCCAGTCTTTGTTCCTGAACACGTCCGGAAAATGGTGTTGTCTGTTCGGGCTCTTAACTCTGACCTGTGAATCATTCAGGCAGTAAAAAGGCACCAAACTCAAGGGGTGAGCCAGGCTTCTGTCAGTGCAAAGAAGACGTCTAAATTGGATCTTCAGGCGCTTTGTTACCAGCAGCCTGCCCTAAAGTCCTGTTGTTTGCTCATATTTCTTTATATACACTGAGATGAAGTGTAAGTTCCAATCACATTGTGTTCTTGAAATTGCACCAATTTTTTCAACAAATTTAAAGTGTTTTGTAAAGAGCATTATTTGCGATGTGTTCAGAATCTGACCAAAGTAAAACAAAAGAAACAAATCTGAAGTTGACGTTATTTTTAAGTTATTATGCCATGATTTTACGGTCTGGCCCACTTGGGATTAGATTTTCCCTCATGTGGCTACTGAGCTAAAAGGAGTTTGACACTCCTGCTTTAGTGGATGTATCAAAAATGCCAAAGCAAACACAGTTTGAAGACAGAAACTAGGATTTGTAGCAGCAACAAGCTGATTCCTAAAGAGCTGTGAGCTGAAAACTTGGTGTGCTGAGTGTCCTTAAAGCTTTCAAACTGGATACTGGAGGCCATGCTTAAGGAAGGGAAACGGGGAAAAGGCTGAGCTCTGATGGAGGGATGAGGCCTCTGAATGTCGGTGGAGGAAAACCAGCTCCGTCCGGACGACATGGGTTTTTTTGAGGCTTTCAGAAAGAAATAGAAAGAAATAGGAATCGTTTTGTTCTCATGAAAAAAAATTATGTTTCCAACAGTATTCAATAAAATATTGAAAACACTTCAGCCTGAAACGTATCACATATATATATATATATATATAGTTAAAGATAATGTGGTTTAATGGGTATTAAAAACAACTGAAAGGGACAAAAAAAAGTAGAGAAAAACTGTGAGCGTGTAAATCACAAAACTGATTTGACTGAAAAAAACTGAAAAAAATTGATTAAAAAAACATCAAATCAGTGCAATCAATACAAAAATTTTATAGAAATGAACATGTCAACCAGTAGAGACCAGTAAAACTCATGAATTAAGGATTTGACTTGTTGACCAAAAAACTATCACATTAAAAAAAATATACTATTCATTTTTGGCCCTTTAAATGAGAAAAACGTTGATATACAACAGGTGGCAGTACCTGTACAGCTGTGGACAGCTGTGGAAAACCTGTCAGTCAAGTTTAAGTTAGGTTTTATTTCTTTTTGTGTTTTAGGTGTCTGCAACTGCATCGTTTTGTCCATTTGTTATATTTGAACCCTTTTGTGAGAGCATTTCTGAGTGTTTAGCTTTTATCAAACACAAACTGATGACACCTTTTTTCAAATCTCAGACTGTGGATGTATTTTGGGGTGGAAACAGGATGTCCCGGCAGGATCTGACCCACAGACGGCAGGTGCTGAGGTCCTCCTGAGGACAGACAGGAGACAAGACAACAGGATGCGAATGTCTGACCGGAAAAGGAGAAAAGACCTAAAAATACAGACAGATATCAGGATCCAGAGAGATCCACTGGGGGGGAAACCTGCTCTAATCAGAGGATTTTTTATTTATTGTTGACCAAATAAACAACCTGTTCTTTACGGCTCGGTACCGTGGGAAGGTTGGAAGCCTTTCTCTGTGAAAATACGCCTTCACCCGATTTATTATTTGTTCATTTCAAAACTCAGACGATTCCTGTTGGGTACGATCCTCCTTCTCATCTTTCCCCTCTGGCACCACCTTGGGGATGTGGTTATCATGGCAACCGTGTTTTCGCTGTAATTTATCCCCATGCGAACACAAATGAAGCCTCGGCTGACTCCCGCAAGTGCCCGAAAGCAGTTTATTTAAATATGAAGGCAATAAAAACACTTTCCATACCAAATTCAAACTGCTTTCCCAGTAGCTGCTGCCATGGCTTACAGTTTGGGCCGTTACGGGCTCCAGTAAAACCAAGAAATGTGAAGATAAATGGGATGGAAGGGCAGAAAGTCAAGCACAATACAATTAAAAAAAAAAAAAAAAAAGAGGAAAATGCATTAGGCCAGCTAGATATTAATTTAATCAACTCTTATCTGCTGCAAGTTAAAAATGTTAACGTATTTTTTAACTTTTTATGTGATCAATGATGATCAGTGAGAGGAAAGACGACTTTAATAATGTAATAAGAATGATTTTCCTTTTAGTTTATAAGCTGCACTAAGATCTGCTACAATATCTAAAATAAAACTCCCTAAAAGGGAGCTGAGCTTCAGTCTGGGTGAGATTTGAGCAGCGCTGCTGCCCCCTGCTGGCAGAGGACCGGAACTCCAGTCTGCTGTCAGACACCTTTATTAAAGTTTAAGTCAAATAAACTATTGAGAATATTTATTAATGAAGCAAAACACCATTGTGGAATCAAGCTTCTATTATGGTATTTTACAATAAGAAGCTGAGATGTTGAAGGTGAGGATAAAAAGACGTTTTCTCACAATCCTGAGCCAAGACCTTCACATTTCTGCTAACCGCCCTGTTTGTAATTTTTAAAAAAAGGCCAATACTTAACAGTTTAGGCTTTTAAATTTTAACTTGATTAGATTTATACCCACTGAAATGATCCTTTTTTTAAATAATACCCCCCCAGTCGTCCTCGCCGGGCGCCCGACGTGGCGTTTTCCACTGTTATTCTTCTTCTTTTGTGGGGGGGGGGTTGAAGTTTGAGGTTGGGTTGAAAAGTTGAAGCCAAATTACTTAAATGAATCCAGATATTTTAGTTTTCCCTCTTTCCATCTTCTACCTATGGTAGGTAGAAAATGTCATTGTAACATCTTCTACCTAACTTAAAGAGTTTTAGGCTTTGCATTAATTAAACAGATCCAAAGGCAGAAAAATGTGACGTACAGGTCAGAGCAGCTTTTAGACAGATAGCTTATACTATAAGTGTTACAAAACAGAGAGGTTGGAGTACAAAAACAACAAAATATAACTTTATTGAAATAATCAAACATCGTAGAAGGACAGTCTGACAGTACAAACAACAAAGTGAGGATGACTGATTGATAATAACTTAATCGAAATGTGTTTGAAACCTCACTCTGAGTTAGACGGACAGGACATGGAATCACACAACAAAAGGCTGGACAGCTTCTGGTCCCCCGTCAGACCACCGGAGGGCCGACGTGACACTAAATGGTTCGATCGTACAGTTCGGAGAGAGAAACACACACACACACACACCTACCGCCAAGTTAAAGCCTCTCAGCAGAAAGCCTCGGAAAGACACAACAAGGATAAAAAGACGAGTGAGGGACTTTTAAATTAACATGTAAACATCCGAAGCCTCCACACGGCACAGAGTGGAGCCTGTTATACGGTCACACCGACCTGGGGCTGAAAGGGAAACATTTACGGGATCCATCCCCCTTTTTTAGAGCCTCTTTCAGCCTGAACGGACACATAAATTAAATTTCATGTGAGTAATCATAATAATTGAGCTTTAATTAGATTGTCCTAATGTGCTCCCCATAGAAATAACATTGCAAACCGATAATTTGGGTAATCAAAGGGTGAAATAACACACCTGTGGTTAAAATATTCGACATAGTGAGGTCACGGGAGTGTGAGTGAAGCTTTGAAAGGCCGCAGTTCCTTCCCCCGGCCAGCAGGGGGAGCTCCCACACACCGTGACACATAAATACTGGAGGGGTTTCTCCTTCGACGGTTCTCCAAACAGACATAAGTTAAACTCCGAGCCGGGTACAAAAACAAGCAACAACGTAACACTGACCTTTTCTTTCGGGGGATGGGGGGCAGAAAGCCAACACGTGTGCAGCACGTTGCTAATAAAGTGAGCCGCTGGTGAAGCTTTACAGCCTTGGTTTGGTTCCCTTTGAAACTCTACGAATGATCCTAAAAGCTAAGACAAAAGGAGCGAATCCAATGGAGAACAAACACTTAGCACTTCCAGGTGAGGCTGCCAGGGAACAGAGGCTGAAGCACTTTGGCTGAAGCTCACTGAAGCATCTCTCATCCCACCACACGCGTGTGT